TCGTTTGAGGCTACCCGCTCCGTAGCCTATTGTTTTGGGAAAGTGGACTGATAGTGTTGGGACAAAGACATATCGGTCAATCTCATAAGATGGTCACAATCTCGATAGTCAAATAACGTAACTCTTATAATTAGATTAAATTACTATGTATAAAATGTATTTAATTTATAAATATTTGATATTTTTTAATTATATAATAATTATTTATTATGAAAATAATTTTAAATTAATTATTTACATTGGGTAAATAGAATTACTTATGAAATAACTTATTATTATCATAATTTTATATAATTATTTTATATTTTTCTTTAGTTTTAAGGTTTAAAATATTTATTTTCATATATTTTTATTAAATTTCAATATAATAATTTAACTAAAGAGATGAGAAAAAAATGTGAAATAGGAAAGAAAAAAAAAGTGAACGAGAAAAGAGAAAAAAAATAAAAAATTTAAAAGAAAAAAAATGTATAAGAGCATCTCCAATGGTGAGTTCTTATAAGAACCCACCTTGGGTTCTTAAGTAGGACTTATAGTGTCACATCATATTTAAACAACTCTCTTCCATTTTTTACAAATTCACTCCAATGGTAGGTTCTTATAAGCAACTCACTATTCAACTACCACCCCCGCCACACCTTAACCCGCGAGACCCAACCTCCCACCCTAACCTGCAAGACGACCTAAGAGTTGGACTGCTCACCGTCGCAGAAGCTGGGCTTGCGGCAAGTTTTGCCACCTAGCCGGATTGCTAGATGAAGTTCATTTTCGGCTTTTTGCTTCCGGTGGAAGCTCAGATGGAGAGAGCGGAGCTCCAACTTCAAGGTGGAGCCTACTTCCATGAGGCACCAATGAGCTACCTTCAGGTGAGCATTTCTCTCTTATTTGTTGCATTATCTGATTTATTGAATTCTGTTGGTGAGAACAACAGGAACAAACAAAAAAAAATTGGGAAAAACAACTCTTAAAGTTAAGAAAGTTGCTTCTACAAGATGCGCTACTTAACTTTTCAAAATTGTTGCTGCCACGTTGGATTGTTCCAATGACAATTTCTTATAAACACTGTTGTTTAGAAGCAACTAGGACCATAAGCAACTCCCATTAGAATTGCTCTAAGGATAATAAACTGGTTTACTTAATTAAATAAATTAATAAAAAATTTTTTTAAGTAATTTTTTTAAAATATATTATTAATAAAATTGAATCTAAAAATAAGTTTCTTCACATATAAACTTAATTATATTTTACTGTATATAAAATATCAAGGTATATTTTAATAAGAACATGAATAAATTTATTTGAACCGAAAAATAATTAAGATAAATAATAGTTATTTTTAAGGATTTTATTTTAATATATTTAAATTATAGTGCTAAATTGAATTTTTCATATACCATTCAATCTTTGGTCAATTTTAAAATTATTGTTTTTAATTTACAAAAATGTACAGTTTTTGCTTTTAATTTTTTTTTCAGTTTTCCAAAATTTGAAATTATTAATTTCGGTTTCTAGTATATATTTAACTTATTTTAAAAGCTGTCAAAAGATGTTAACGCTTATTAGTAAATTCTATTTGAAATTATCTTTTTACTAAACATATGAGTAATGTAACGAGTGTAACATGATATTAGGAATAAAAAAAGTAATAATAATTTACACTTTTAGATAGATTAAAAAAATATAAAAAACATATTATAGGAATTAAAAATTTAAATGCATTAATTTTATTTTTTTTATTTGATTCTGGTTCGAAATATTAAGTTTGATTCATTTTAACTTTCAAAATAAAAGAAAATTAAATTTCTTTTAGCTTAATAGATATTATTTTTCTTAAAAAAACCCATTTTTCATATTATTATTCGAGTCCATGATAATGATGTGAGATACAAATCTATAAAAAGATTAATTTAATTCACATAGTGAACTAATCTAATTTCGTCCCTGCTAAATTATTTTGGTACGTAAATAATTCTAACTAGATTGGACATGCACAAGTCTTGTATGGGTAGATAAATTGATTTATTTTTTTAGTTAAAACATATTGTAAAATTAAAATTATTAGTTTTGTGTGCTATTTTGTTAAAATGATTGTGTTCATTCTATAGGTAAATAACTCGACAAAATCTTTACATTAATTTTTAAATTTGTAAGTGATGAACATTTTATTTAACATGTTAATTTTAATGAATAATTACCAGAGCTAGTGAGCATTTACAGCATGATTCTCTCTAGAAAAATAAAAATGAATATATATATATATATATATATATATATATATATATATATATTTATTTATTTTTATCTTCATATCTTCAAATTAATGAATTCGGTTATCTAGGTTTAAAAATAAGTAATTTTATTATACTTAAATTTAATAGTTAATAATATTTTTAATTATCATAAAGTTGGTAAAAAAAGTACATTAACAAAATCATATTTAACAAAAAATACAGATGAAACAAAAATTTACCCTAGATAACTAAATAATCTAAAACTTTATTTTTCACTTATTTTATTATTTTTGAGTTAGGTTTGAATAGGAAATAATTTAAATATTACAAAACAACTCCATAATAACTCATAATTAATTCAGCTAATAACGGATAATTAATTCAACTAATAACTCATAATTTATGTAACTCATGTTGACTGAAGTTTAGGAGTTTGGAGTTACAAGGTTGATTTTGTGTGTTCTAATTCCCATGCCATATATAAAAAAATAATAAATAGTATTTGTCAAATGAAAAAAAAAAACTTCTAGAAAAAGTGTAAAGTGAAATATAATAAATATAAAAAAAAAATAAGTGATCAATATAAGAAAATAAGTATAAAATAATAATAAAAAAGTTCGGTAAGAGGAAAAATAATAAAGAGAAAATCATACTTTCTATTACAAGTGATTAGTTTCTCCTCACGTGACTTTTCTCTTGAAAAAAAAAAAAAAACATAAATATTTAAAGATAACAAAACAGAGTTAGGTCCAACTGACAATTCGTCAGTTTATTTTAAAAATTGTGAGAAAAGTTGGTAATTTTAGCCTATTAGCATGTTTTGATCCGCCTCGCCTAATCCATCAACCTGGCGAGTCAAGGATGGGATGGGGGTTGATTAATCGCTTGAAACAAATATTTATATATTAAAATTAAAAAGATTATTACTTTCCATTGATATTGAGTATTGGGTATACAGAAAGTAGTCTTATATCGGTTAGATGGGTCAATGACTAATTGATAGAATATGGATTTAAGGTCAAATTTAGAAAATATATGGGTTTCTTTTATCAAAGTGGGGGTAAGGATGAAACTTTAGGTATTGAAAATTTGTTATCCTTAAAAAAATGATTAAGAGACTTATAATTAATAACTAACCTTTTTTTCCTCTAATTTTTTCAGACATCTTTTCTACATAAAAAAGGCTTGATAGACCAATTGGATTGGGTTAGTTCGATCAGGTATTGTTTCAACAGTTCCTGACATTCTTGTTTTGGCTGGTTAGTTGTAGGCATGATGAAGACATTCCTGATGTGTAGCCTTTGTAAGGTTGACGTCTTCGTTGAGTTTCAAGGGTAATTGTACAAAGAACTCAAGATTCTTCTATAGAGACTTTGGATGAGCAAAGTCTTCATGACTGTTAGCACACAAGGTGACTAAATTGTTCTTTATTTCTTGTAAGTCTGGAGGAACTTCAGAAAGGGAGTCTGGGTATGTCTGTGAAAGATTTGAATTCCCAATTGAATCTGACTCGATCTGAAGTTTGTTAGTCATGGAGTAGATATTCATATATACCAGTATATCCTTATTAGGAAGTTTGCTCCCAATTACTTTGGACCAGACTGTACACTCTGGGAAGAATTTGATTCCAATTAGAGCTTTGATGATCCATCAGCTGTAACAAAATAGGCTTATTTCCTCCAAAATTCTTTGGGAAGTATGTGAGGATCCATCATAGACTTCTGGACTTCTAGGCTCCTGTGTCGAGATAAGTTATAACTTTAATGGCTTTCTCATACTTCAAAGGAAGAAGCTTACTTCCAAGCATGATATCTTGTAAAGAAAATACTGGAACAATATCAGCTTTTGATTCATTAAAATATTTAGATTCTATCTCATCAGAGGAGATGGTGATGACAAATATGGTCTCTTCATCTGCAGAACTTTGTTCTGAATAGAGAGACTCTATGTCATCAGTGTCATTAAACTTGAGGGTGAAAATGAGTTTTATGGCTCTTTCAACCTTTTTTTTTGCAGATAAAGCATATTTGGTCTTTTGATTTTCCTCTGAACTTCTTCTTGAAGAATTTAAAATTCTTCTTCTTCCAGGTAGGCGGCTTCTCCTGTCTTTTCTTCTTGTAGTTGCCTGAACAGAGCTTTTTACATTTAATCCCAGTTCTGGATGTATCTCAGCAAGAAGTGATGTAACTTACGAATTCTCCAAGCTAGGATCATTGAGTCCATTGAGATGGTAGATTTTGCATTTTGAAGAACACTTGCCTAAACTTCTTGTCCATTATCGAGTTTTCCCCTATAAATTATTTATGTAAGGCTCCGAGTACGGCTGAGGTTTTTTCCAATTCATGGAACTGGTCCTGCTGAATAATTATAATATATAAATATACTATAATATTATAATTTAAATTAATCAATTATAATTAATTATTTTAACAAATAGATATAATAATTTTTTTAATTTATCTAATAAAATATTAATTAATAAATAAAAACCTAAAATTTATTCATATAATTAATAATATATTTTAAAAAATACATATAGAAAAATTATATATAAAAAAAATATTGGCAAAATGTACCGGTAACCTATGGAGCTGGTCTACAATTTGTTCTGACTATGCAGAACAATCCACGGGTCCATTTTTTTCTTGATTTTCATTCTTCAAACATTCTTTCTTGATTATTCAATATACCTTATTCTTTCTATATTATGAACATATTTGAATAAATTTGATAAATACTTTATTCACTTATATAACCAAAATGCAAGTCCTACACTAACAAAGATGAACTAAAAGAATTACAATAATCCCAAAACTTCTCACACCTATTCAAAATTACAGTTGCATTTTCCTTGAAAACTGGCAATGTTAATGCATACTTAGCTACGTCTATGAAGCAAGATTTTCCCATGTCCTTCACAAGGCTGAGGCAACAATATTTGGTAGTTGTTTGGCGATTAAGATATATATCGTACAAAATTTGCTCACCACAATTTGGCTTCAACTTCTCTGCACAATCATTCAAATATTCATCGTACGCAGGCCCTGGACTTGGTGCTTCACCAATGCCATTTGAAGAACCCTGCACAATTTCAAAAGAAAGCGATGAATTCATTAACAAATTCAAACTCAGCACAAAAGCCACAACATGCAAGCCATTCAGTGATGCCATTTTTCTTGAGATAATGATAATCTTGACCCAGAAGAAGTTTTTTTCTTGTCATGATACCTAACAGAAGGAGCTCTATTTATAGGTTAACAACCTTAACGTGCGCTGATTAATGATTATTATTATTATAAGTCTTTTGAAACTAGCAATTTTTATTTTTATTTTTGTTCAAATTGAATAAATATCATCCTTGAATTCTTGTTAAGGTCAAAATCACTCTTATGATTATTTAAATTTATGTAAATAGGTGAATAATATTATTTTATGTTATCGTTTGATGTAATATATATTATGAAATTATTTTTACATGAAAAGTACTTTAAAAAATGTTATACTTTATGAAAATAAAGATGAGGATTTGGTTTATTTAAATTTAAGAATTCATATAAACTTAATATATATATATATATATATATATATATATATATATATATATATATTCGAATGATATCAAATTAGATAATAAACGTAAATCGTTAACTTTTCATGTTATTTATAAAGAATAAAAAATCATATAACTGGTACAATTTTATTAATAACTAAAATATCCTTTCATAAATTAGTATAAAAACTTAATTTTGAATCTTTTCTTAGTCAACTATATTATTAACATTATAAGTCTAATAAAACGCAAATATTACATTAATGAAAAAATTATATATATATATATATATATATATATATATATATATATATATAATATTATAAAAGAAACTTAAAGTTTTTCCCATCGTTTATAAAAATTCAAATTTACAGTAGTTGTTAGATATAATATACTCCTAATCATATTTAATAATAATTAAATTACAGAATTTATTACTATTTATATATAACTAAATAATTGATAATAAATTTTATGATTTTAATATTAAATAATAACATTCTTTATATTGCATAATTTTTATTTTTATTACTGATTAAAATAAATATGGAATAATAAATTACTATATGTTTATATCATTAACATATTTTTAAATTTATTTTATTCAAATCACACACACACACACACACACACTATATATATATATATATATATATATATATATATATATATATATATATATATAAAGTAAAATAATTATTATAATAATAAAATAATTAAGTAAAAGCTAGCTTTTAAAATTGGATTATTCTAATTAAATGTATCTTTTAATTCAAAATTTGAATTTTTATCAAAGTCATAATTGAGTTTAAATGTATCATAATTAAAATTGAGCTTAAATGGAATTATGGATAAAAGTAAATTTATGAAAGTAAGATTTAAGATGTAATTGTAGAAAAATAATTTCGAAACAGTAAAATTTATATATTTTTTTTCAAAATTTTCCATTCACAATTATAAACGTTGAATAATTAATTGAATAAATAATTTAAATTTAATTATTTCGTTAACGCTATTAATTAATTAAAAATATTATATATTATTATTTTGTTAATAATCATGAAATTAGTAAAAAAATTATGAATTAATTTTTGTAATTGAAATGGGAACATTTCAGATAAAGAAAAACATAAAATTTAGTTAAATAATTATTAAAGTAATATTAAAAAAATTAAAATTAAAATAAATATATGTCAATAAATTTTAAATTAAAATACTTAGTTTTAATATATATATATATAATATTTAAAAAAAAAAGATTGTAAAAAATTACTTTATAACGGTAACAAATCATCTTTATATTGTATAATGATATGTAAAGTAGGTTATATATATATATATGATAATAATAAAAAATTATATTACTATTTGTAATCATTTTTTGTCATAACTTTTATTAGAATTCATCAATTCTTGAATACTTCTATTAATAAAAAAATTAAAAATTATTATAATCATAATTAAATACAAAATAAATTTTTAAATTAAATTATTCTAATAATAAATATTATTTAATATATTTTTAATGCAAATTTTAAATTTTCATTAAATAATGGTATAATTGAGTTTAAATGGATAATAAAACTTAATTTAAATGAAATTAGAAATGAAAATAAATCATTTTATTGAGAATCAAGATTTAATTAGTGAAATTATTTCACCATAGGAGCTCTAGGGTTCAATTACTAGCTCTCACTGTATTTTCTGTATTTGGCTTGGTTAACTTTTAAATTCATTTATTTGGGTATTGATTTGTGGTTGAGAGCATGAGATGAAAAAACTAATTTTGTGCATATAACTATATATGGATAATCAAGATTGATTTTACTTAAAAATAATGTTAACCATCAATTTTAGATTAAACAGTCAAGATTGTTAACTTTTTCTCAGACTCTTCCACATATATAGTATATAGCCTAGACACTGTTATATGAATATGCATGGTTGACAATTGCAAGGGAAACACAGATTTCCCAGATCAGAATGGCATGATTTAAATACAGTAATCACCTTGGTTGAATCAGCAATTTGCAAAAATTTGGCTTCATCTTATCTCACACATCCCCTAATCACCTATTTCAGTAATAAATACAAAGTAAGCACTCCATTTAAGATATGGAGAAAAAACAGACACACATGAGGCTAAAAATGTAGGTTTCAGTAGCTACCATACTCTAAATTACTCCAACACAGCTTAATGCTTAAGTTCGTGGACATGACCTATGTTTTGGTTTCAGGAACTGGCTATTCATTGACCATGTTCCAGTATAACTGCAACTCCTTACTTCCCTTTAAGTTGGCAATCATTGCACCTTGATTCAAAAAACAAAAATACCAACATAACCATGTAGTTGAGCATCTACTAACCCAAAACATTCCCTAACAGTCTCAATTTTGGTTATCTGATTGAGCTACTATGCTGCCATAACTTGAATGCCATCCTTCTAGCCTTTTCTTCATTTTCTTTTTCAAGGCCTTATTAAAGTTACTGCTTGACAGTGAAAGAACTTGGTTCAGCAGTAACTTCACTCCATATTTTTTCATAATTGTAAATCTAGGTTTAATCCTTTCCTCAAAACGGTATCCAAAATATTGAGGAAACTTAACCAGGTCAGATTTTGGGTAACCCGTGGTCAAAAAGAAATCCCATTTTGGAATCAAATTTTCAGTCAAGCTGACAGTATACAAGGCTCCATATCTTGAAATCATGGTCCCAATTTCTTCCAAAGTGTATCCCCTCCCCAAGAAAAAATCTGTTACAGGCTTTAGGTTGGTCTCAATGCTAAGACCAAAATTCTGTGGGCATCTAAACAGAAGAATGCCAACATCTACCCCCAAAGAACGGAAGTACTTGGCGGTGGGTCGGAGATTGTCCTCTACACTGTAACTAACAATATTAGGGCAGCGAGTTAAAATCTTACCTATACTCTCTTTTGACAGGCCTAATTCAAGGAGAAAATCTATGCTTTCCATTACTTTTGACCTGCTATAAGTTAGCATGGCTGGGAACCGATAGATCATCTTTGGCCATTGTCTTTTGTCAACACCCAAAGATTCAAAGAACTTCATGGTGGGTTTAAGATTTTCAGATAAACTGATTCCACATAATTGAGGTCTTTTATTGAGGATAGAGGGCATGTGCTCTTTTGGCACTCCAACTTCAAGGAGAAACTCAACTACTGGCTTAATTTTACCCTCCAAGCTATAGTGGGCAAAAGATGGGAATCTTCGTGTGATACTCCTAATCTGCTCAATATCCATACCAAGTTCCATCAAATATTCAATATGAGGACGAAGAATGCCACCATTCGGGTCAATCTCGCTCACTCGGGACACAGCTTTAAGCTTTTTAGAGTCTAACACTGGATTAGAAGGGGGAATCGGAACAGCTAATTTATCCTTAACAGGTGGATTTGGATAGTTTTCCACTACATCCACTAGAATGTCTCCATGCTCTTCAAAAAGAGATTCAAGATAAGGGAAAAGTGCATCCCTGATCTCCAGAGTTGTAAGCTCTCTCCCTGTTCATGTCAATGAAAATGTGATTAGCAGGATCCAATGTGGAAGAAAGTTACAAAATAGAGTAATAAAATTGTTGTGACAGAACCTGCGAGATACCAAGATATGTGTTTAGAATGAAGCTTTGAGATAAGGTGATCAACAAAAAGATCTGACTTGTTGATGGTTCTAGCAGCAATCGCATTGCTTAAACCTCGTTTCTTCAAAAACAAGGTCAACACAGCCTTGGCTTCTTCCTTTTCTGCTGCTAATAGAGTAGGAGACATCAATTTTAAATGCAATGACCCATCTGTGCCTGCATAAAAAGCACAACATTATGCTTAATATAATAGCATAAACCTCATGTCAATTGCAACATCTAAATAATGAAAAAATAAAAGCAAAATAATGCTAACCAGATTTTGCCTGGCAAAAGAAGACCTTTGTAGGAAAAGAAAGTTGAGTCCTGATGTACAATGTTCATAAAGGGAAAACTGTTCAAGTTTCTATAGTATCAGAATGAAGAAAAACAGATACGGGCAAATTGAAATCCTTGAATCTGCTAATAGACATCGAGACAGAACAGAAATGAAAAACTAGAAAATATCTGGGTACTGAAATTATTATGTATGTTTAGTAAACAACATAATTTAGCACTAATTGAATAAGTGATTATCATGTAAGCGCTTATGTAATAATTGTTAGTATAATATAATCAAAGAGAAAATAGGTTCAAAGTGTTTTCATAAGCTATCCAAGAATACTTACTGATATAAGATAAAAACAACTTATGAACATATTATAAGCTATCTTCATGAGTTCTCCTAAACACTCACACAAGTGTTTTAGGTCATTAAAAAAGGCCATTATCAACAAGCTCTTCCAAACAAACCTAAGGGATTTTCGAATTGCTTGTTTTAACTAGTAAAAATGGCTCTCTTTGAACTTATTTTAACCATATGCCTCAGCGAAATTGGTTAGCACAAGTTTGTTTTCGAATGATTCTATCCTCCTACAGCATCCGGTAACTAATTCTCCCACTTGTAAAATGCTTTTTATGTTTACCATTATTCTCTCTTTTTTTTTTTTCAGCTGTTGTAAGTAACCAAACTTATGAATAAGCTCTTACAAGAACCAATCAAACAAGTACTTCACCCAAACCGCCCTTGGACAAATCTTATTTGGCTCATGGCAAAAGGTCACAATTCACACGGACCGATAAACTCCACTTGCTCCAATTCTGCATCCATAATCAGAAATACCACTTACAAGATCATTAAACCCATGAGTTCCCTCCTCTTTCCTGATTCTCGCTTTCGGGGCTTTGATATTAACAGAAAAGCAACTTTAAAAACTGAACTAGATATGAATAATGTGCATGCAAGAAATTCCGTAGTGTGTGAACAGCATTAAAAAAAGTGAAGAAATGTACCTTGTGGTTGTGTGAGAGAAAAATCTTGTGCAACGAAAATGGTGGTGTGGTTGAATTGAGCAGAAAGTCTTCATCTTCGTAGATTTGATATCGCAATTGTGAAAGAAAGGTTTATTCATTCATTGTACCATTGCTCAGAAAAACAAGACAAAGGACAAAATCACGCGAGATAAGGTAAGGTGGATATCGGCCAACGTGAAATACTTATATCTCTTATATGTGTAAGAAAATATAGTATAATAATTAGTAATAAAATAAATAATATCATGTATTAAATTTAGAAGAATATATAGTTTATCATATATCCAATGTATATTTCGACAATTTTATCTATAAAAATTTAAAAAAACAATTGAGTTTTATATAGAAAAATCAATATATAAGGTTTTATAATTACATTAATTAACTTTCTACTTTATAGTTTATTAATATATTACACGTAAAAAATATATACAATGAAAATAAGGATAATATAAAATTATATGAAGACGAAAAAAAAAACTCATGATAAAAGTTATCAAACTTATAAATTTTTTGTCCAATTCTACTTAAAGAAATTTATGTTTTTTTAAGTTAAGTTTTTTATATTTTTAATTTAAAGACGTTGAATATGTCAAAAATAATATTTAAGAATATTTATTTCAAGTTTACATTTCAACTTCTTCACTTTTTCATTTAAAATAGAGTTTGTCTTTAATGTTTCTTTTAAATAGTTGTCCATATCTACCAAATTCTTCTTTAACTTTGTCAACTTGTTAGACTCACTTGAGTTTTTTAACTCAATGCATAAACATTTTTTCAATAACAAGAAATACATTTGTAGCTCCATAAACACCTTTGACAACTCCGTTGGCTAAGCAAAATCATATATCTCCTTTTAGGTCATGATTAGTGTGACATTCACATTCATAAAAACTTGGAAATCACTCCATAAGAATATTATAATCCACATCTATTGATAGGATCTAAAAGCATTTTGACAAACATTCTCTTGAAGAATCTCACCATGTTTGTCTTCCTTCTTATGCTTTCACTTAACTTCAACAATAAGTGAGGGAAGATTAGGTTGTAACTCCTCGGCAATTAAGGATCTCTAAACACACATTTCTCTTTGTTGGCTAAGGGCACATTTTTTTCTTCTTATTTGATTGAGAAGGTCTTTGCTTTTTAAAATAATGTATTTATAATATTTGTATTGATGTTAAGCATTTAAAAGAGTTAACATGAAGAAGGTAAAGGTGACAATTAAATAAATAATATACCAAAATTTTGATATTAAACAAAGTCATCACATACCTTAGTCAATGACAAAATCTGATTGGATCATGATTGCAATAAAAAAGCGGGGTTATCTCTTTTTTTTAGAAAAAACGCCGCTCACATTTTTCTATTTGAACCTTAAAAGAACTAATCTTAAAGTTCTTTGAAGGATGAAATGAAAATCTCAAACAAATCATTTGTGTTAGTCAATTAAAGATAACCAATCATCTTAATCACTACGTCGATTACCAAATGGTAAAAAAAAAACTTGAGTAGAATTTAAGAACAAGTTTTACATACTATTCTAAATTCTTGCAAAGATGTCAAACTATTCAATTAAAGTTACATTGATACCATACCACATTCAAGATTCGTAACACAACTAAGGTAAAGTTATCAAAAGGAAAACGAACATATAAGTCCACATATACACGTAAAAGAAGTCTTTGAATCAACTTTCACATCCATGACAAACATTATCAATAGTATATCATCTACTAAGCAACATTATTTCCTCCTCACCTAATTCCTCCACCATTCATTGGCTCATCGCAAAAATATGTCAAGACAAATGACCAACTATAATTCAAAAAAAAACCCTTAACTCGGGGATCCACCCAATTATAGCCACCCTCGGTGGGAATTTGGCCTTCGCCTATTTTTAAGTTGTAAAGCCAACAAAACAATTGCGTTATTGATATTATGACAATTACTATTGATGTATTTACAAGCTTCATTATTGACAAAAAAAATAAATCATGTGTACTAAGATCATAATTGTCTCACTGGAATGAATGATAATCTTCCATGCTCCCTACTCCATAACTGACCCACTAAAAAATTATTTGACTATTTAAGAAGACAATTTTCCTAAAATCTTTCAAAATTGTTAAAATTCTTATTTGAATAATGCACGAGAAATCAAGTGGTCCCACAAATGAGACCCACACCCTATTTATAAAAGGCAAAGAACACCTATTGAAATGTCAAGAACCTCCCACACTTATTTTTACAATCTAACTATTGTAACTTACCTCCCATCAACCAAAACATCACATCTTAGTCTTCTTATCAAAATTCACACACTTGTTCTAGAACCTTGTTAGTAAAGTCTTAATCACTCTTAAATTGGACAGTATGTATATAAGATTTCAAGATCTTATTGACTAAAGAAAGTGAAATTTTCTTTTCTTCACTTAGACTCTACATCACCTAAGTGTCTCCTTGAGTATGGGATCCAACAGTCAAAGAAAGTATAATTTTCCTTTATAAATTGAGATTCTTTATCACCTAAATTCTCCTCAAACTTGGGGAGTTAATGCACAACAAATATGTCCATGTCTTATTCCTTATATAAAGTTTTTAAACATAACTAAACGAATGAACAACCTGCATTCACAGGAATGACCACACACACTCATGAAAATTTGACCAAGAAACATAATACATAGACTCATTACAATCATATAAATGACAATTCTAAGATATATAATATTCATAATTATATTGTGACACTCTTTTAATAAAGAGACCTTAAAAACATTCCTAAAAAAATAATATTAATAACTCACTCACAAAAATTAAGTCTTATAAAAATTATTTAAAAAATAATATAAATTTTACACACTCAAATTTATTTTTATTTAATATTTTTATCGTAAATGATTTCAATAATTATGAATACAAATAATGTATTAGTGATAAAAATTATATATTAAATATTTAACTCCGATATTAAAAGAAAAATGGCTCTCATTGAAGATTATTTAAGGGGTTTATACTAATAAACTGTTATCATGAATAATGTACACTGATTTAGAAGGTACTTTTTAGAAGACTAGTTCCTGATCTTATATGATCTACAAACTAATCAATCTATCTTAAAAAAATGAAAGAAAGATGTTGAGCATAAGAAAAATTAACTAGATCTTAATTTGCAACCCGTTTCATGTCTAAACTTTGACACATTTAAGGAGCATAATTATTTGTCGACCATAATAGAGCCTGCTGATACTTTTATTCTTCGGACTTTACTTTTAAAACATATAATCCATTTAAAAAAAATCAATTTTTTACATGAATTTTAACAAAATTTAAACAAAGGAAATCCATTAAGTGTATTCTCACATGACCACCACTCTTGAAAGTGATAATATCATTAAAAAAATTTCAACTCCAATGCATAATTTTGTTTCGCAATCTGACCAAGACATGTTACTGAAAATAAAATAAAAAAGGGAGTGTAGATAGAAATTTCCTTAATTAATGCAGTACACCTACAAGTCCAAAAATCCTGGTTGATGTTGGCCCATAAGTAACTAAGCCCAATAAAAGACATTATTTCTTCGAAAGTTAAACACACAAAATGTGAGCATCTCTTCTTTTTTGAGTTTTATGTAAGTCTTGTGAGTTGCTCATTATTCACACATCAACCAGTCATTAAATTTTTAAACTATGTAATTATTACTATATAAATAAAATATTCAATTGTTAGATTAATTAATTTTTTATTTTACATAAATTTGTAAGTAGTGGAGGTGTAAAAAATCTGCATATTTTGTTACTTTAATTATGTCCCAAGAAGATATTAAATTATACGAAAATGGTAACTTAAATTAAATCATTGGTTTAAATTTTTTTTTTTAATTTCGTGGATAGGATAAATTGATCTCTATTAATGAACAAAATTAAAAATTTGGAATTTTAATATTAAATTTATAAAAAAATTATTAACTAATTTAATAACTTAAATATAAAATCATATTTAATAAATTGAATACATGATAATTTTTATATTAATATTAATACAGAGAGGAAAACAGAGAAATGAACATGAAGAAGAGAGACCAGAGAAAATAAAGAGAGAAATAAAAGAAGAAAAAAAACAAGTAGAGAGAGTAATTTTAATAGAACTATTTATCATCCTGTTTTTTTTTTTTTTTACTTTAATAGTTAAAATGACCTTTTTATTAGGATATTTAAACTACAAAAATATTTTATTCTTTTTCTTAAAATTTATCCTTTAAAATTATTTTATTCTTTTTTCATAATTTAAAAGTCAAACTCTTTGCATCTGAGCAAAACATTGTTATGGAATTTTTGAACAACAACGAAAGAATCACCAAAACTTTTGATTTGTTTCCATCTCTTCAGATTGATGTAAAACATATTCTACGATGGTCATATTAAGTAACTCAAAATAACTAATCACTTTAAATACAGAATTTAAATTTAATTAAATCAACATATATATATATATATATATATATATATATATATATATATATATAGTATTTAATTTTTATTAAAAAATTCCTACCATTTTCTTATTACGTCACTTAAGACATCTTATACTTTTATTTCTAATTACTTTGATTAAATAAAAGGAGCGGATAGAGAATACAATTAATGTAGATTATTTGATATAAGAATAAAAAGTTTAAAAAATAGTGAAACTTATTCTACTGGTTTTTTATTATTATTTATATATCTATTTTTATTTACCATTTCTCTGTTTATTTTTTTATCAAATTTTATTTATTTCTTATTTCTTTGCACTTATTTTTTTTAATTCATTTTATTTATCATTCCTACTCTAAGCCAACAAGAATATTTCTTTTTTTCTTCACTCATTTCCCTCTCATTATAAAAATATATATATATGTCATCTCTCAAAATTTAACATTATTTATTTATGAGTCTTATAAAATAAATAAATTTTAGTCTCAATCTTTATAAAATATATTTTTCAATTTAATTCACTAAAAATTTAAAATCACTACTTTGATATAAATAAATAAATAATGTTAATTTTAAATAATATTTTTATTTTTTAAATATCAAATAATAATAATAGGAT